AATCGGATCAAGCACATTAAAGTAGTAGCATTGATCAGAACATATGTAGTCTGTGTTCACGTCACTTGCGGTGAGATGGATGTGGCCAAACGAAAATATTAATTTAGTAAAAATAACTGTTTAGGGGTTAGTTATGCAAGAGCTTAAAGACAATTGCGAGGATATGAAAAAGATAAAATTCTTACAAATCTATCTCCTATGCTAGTCAGAGGATTGCTGTGTGTTGATGGACGGCTAAATTACCTGGACTTTCAACTTTCACTGGAACATCCTGTGATCTTACCGAGCCACTGCTTCGTAGCTGAGCAAATCAGTTGACACTACCATCAGCTAAAAGCTTACATTGGCATCTCATGCGTGTTAGACGCCGTACGCAGGAACTATTCGATAGTTAGTAGGACCAGTGCAGCCAGACTTGTGCTATATAAACCTTTAAAATGCAGACTTATGAATGCTGAACTGGGTTAGTAGCCAACGATATCTTTTCCTGAGTGTCCAGTATAACCGAATCGATTCACTTTTTCCTCCGTTGGAACTAACTATTTTGGGTCACTAGTGGTTCGTCGTGAAATTATTCAGTGAAAAAGATATAGATGTCTATTAACATGTCTTCGCATTCGTGCTGTACACCTAAACGTAGCTCTCAATCTGAACACTGATGGATTCGTTTCGGTTTTGATGAGGTTTATAGGGAGGAGATGGACTCAAATATATATCTTCGGAACGTACTTTGTTGTGGCGACTCCTGAATTCCAAAATATGATGTTTGTATGGAATAAGATAAATATCAAAGGGGATACTTCTGTACTTAAACTCTTCACTAGCTAGCCACTGAGGTTGAGTTTGGTAAAGATTGATGGCTCTATTAGAAGCCATTACTAATGGGCAAGTCATATACGACAAAAGCTTAGCCACCTACTTTGTTTAAATAGAAGAATTTTTCAATAAGCGCTCTGCTGTTTCAGAGACATCGTATTAAAGAAGTGACAGAGATCTCACAACAAATGCCGTGTTGTTGTTTAGAGATTGTGATGGTTTGGTAATGGAGTGCACAAATGCAAGTATATATTCGAAACCGTTGCTACAAGTAAACTGCTGAGCTAACAGTTTAGGGAGTGGGTTGCTGAAAGAATACGTCCCATTACTCCAAGTGCGGTAGAAATGATTTCGTTAACATAGAAACCGGAGGGCAGAGGAATTGCCTGATTATTCTGAAATGGATGAAGATATTCTAGTAAGGTGATGGTAAGTATGAACGGAGTGGTTAAGTAGTCTCAGTCTGGTCAACAACGTCTTTGAAGACATGTAATTCCCAATGGAAACGGAGTCAACTATAGACATCTCAAATTGCCAAAGATACTACATTGGACAAATTGGACGTCTTCAGATTTGCCTATATGAACACCAACTAGCAATCAAACTGTATGACAATTCTTCCCCTAGATCAATACATATGGACAACTGTGGACGTACATTTTATTGTGAGAATGTTGAAACACTAAGGAGAGTGAAGATAATACACACTAGAACATTTTTAGAATCTTTCCACTCAGGTCATTAGGTAATCAACAAGCACATTGAAATTGATCCAACTTGTTAAGTAAACCGAAGAAACGTAGATAAACATAAATTCAAGAACCAAATCAATGAGGGATGCAATCAGAATACAGTCAGACAATGACAGATTAGAGGTCACTAATGGCCAATCAAGATTGAGGTCATCAGAACAAAGTACAAGTCATACATGGAGAAATTTGAATGCTTCACTTCGACGAGAGGTTTGTGCTGATGAAGCTATTCACAAAAACAACCATAGCTCCATAACTAAAATATCCAACTCAGAGAACAAAACCCCACCAAATGGATACTAATAAACAATTTGGAACTGTGAGAAGTGCAGTGATGAGGTTGGACTTTTCAGTGCAAGCTTAGGTTTTCTTAGACTTGCAAAGAAAAAAAGACTTATCTCTACATTTTGAAGCGAATTTTTGTTTTAATGATATTTTAGCCATTTCTCCAACACATGGATATGCGGTATAAGAAAACTTCCAACTAACCGATTTGTGGGTAAAGAGGATAACATCACCTGTTCATCCAATATATTGTTGGTTCGTGTTTGTTGCTCATATAAATGGATATCGAACTAGTCTTCTGCCTCTTTACACAAGCTATTATAAAGTTATCCTCTTTGGAAGGTTTGGTTATCTTAAAAATCATGGCAAATTATTCATATAGATTACTGCAGCCTATTTTCAAACCCATATAACGCTTTGGTCATTATCGACTTTCAAATGGTAGGTCATGGTACATACGAGTGGTCCTGGTGGAAATGAGGAAGATAATTAGTCGTGAAAAGTTACCGAATAATTTAGGAAATGATAATAGAACTCATTTCACCGAATAATGATTTAGCAGCTTGCCTAATAATATTGCCTGCAGTCATCGGTTTACAGCCTCACGACTTCCTCAGTCTAATCAGGTAGTAGAAAATATCGTTCAACCTTTAAAGAGTGGTCTTATGAAAGTAAATCCTAGTAATCTCGAAAGGCGAGAGAAATGCATTAGGAAATTTTACATTAATATCATTACGCAGAACTTTCAAGCACTACGGAAGCTCCAACTGAACTCCTTAAATTTCGCATACCTTGGACTCATTTAATAAATAGCATCATTATATGTACAGTTTTACAGAAGAAATGATTGTCAGCAATCTACGGACACTATATACTCTCCTTTTTAGAGGCAAAACCCCTAGTCAAAAAATAGACGCTACATTTCGCAAGGTTCTGGAGATTATATTGTTTTATACCTGATGAAAACAACTTCAAATAAACTATTTTCTCTCAACTACAAAGGCATGATATGAAAACCGTCTGACACTCAGGAAATTGGGTGTTTAGATAAATGTTTGGGAACGAAGTTTCATGGACTAGTTAGCATAAAAAAATACTCGTTCATCTAATTATTCACAATAGCAAACCTATTAATAAACACTAACCAATGTGCTCAATAAAAGACTAATTTTTCCAACTCTCTGCATTTATTTGCCCAAAGGAAAGTTGTATCATTTTGAAAAAATACAAACCTACAATTAACACGGTCCTTAGAACTGGAACTACTCACAAAAACTAAACGCAATAGCGCAATTTCTAAACCGACCATACTCTTAAAAAATTATCAAATGAAAGCAAAAACTTATTGAAGTTTAAAATCAATATCGTATTTCGTTCAATGATTATGATTAAAAGTCGAGTGGCTATATGACGCCCAATTAACTGAGGTGACAGAATCATGCTAATGTGGTTTCCACACAAATGGCACGAAAGATTGATCAAAGGGATTTACCGGCCTCCATCTGGTACTAAGGCCCAGAAAGATAAACTGAATGAGGCAATACTGCAACTGGGTTTAATCAAATACTCTTAGCTGGAGATTTCAACACCCCATCTCTAAATCTCATTAATCAGGGTAAAACTTCCACAGGTTGGTTCCAAAGACAGCTTATTAGATGACGACAGTCATTAGAAGCTCTGGGCACACTGAGCCCGCGTTTGCGAGTCTCAACAGTGAGAGTTTCCCAGGGGACCATATTAGGTCTACTTCTCTTCCTGATATTTATTAACCACCTGTTAGACAAAGTTAGCTCATCAGCACTGATCTAAGCAGACGATGCAAATATCTAGAGCTCCACTGAAAGCGATGAGGATTTGAATGAGCTCCGAAATGACCTTAAATCAGTTGAGGAATGGGCAGTGAAGAACGGTTTAAAACTAAACCAGCTGAAATGTCACGTCATGTACATTCTGCCTAACATAACGCAAATGATTAACACTCTGAATGGAAGTCCGCTCCGCAATGTCCCCTGAGAGCGCGATCTCGGTTTAATGACCATCGGAGGCCTCCACCTAGCTCAAACTGTATACGGTACTCAGCCAAGGCAAATGCAACCCTTCATTTTATGCGGAGACAACTTGGTGCTATCACCCCTCAATTATACTCAACACATTTTTAATACACACCTTGAAGATCACATCGTCATCGCGAACCCTCTCCTTAAAAGAGTTATAAATCTCTTGGATCGAGTGCAGAGACTAGCCACTAAATGGGTTGATAAACAAAAATTGCGAAGATGGATTCCAGCATTTGCGATTATTCCCCTCAAATCACTGGAGAATGAGAGGTGATCTAATTATGGCGTGAAACACATCAACCTCGCCAAGCCATCCTAACATAAGCACCTTACTGAAGCATCACCACCACTCTCTCCGAGCCAATCCACGAAAAATTTCGCATCATGAGCGAGCACGCAGGTTCATGCACACTTTTTCACAGTAAGAGTAGTTGCAACTTAGAATGCTCTCCCAGCCGAGGTGTCCACTGCCCCCTCAGTAGACAGCTTTAAGAAGAGACTTGGTAATCACATACCCATATACAGATTATCATCTCCCTTTTGGACAAGTTGTACCTGATGCATGCCTTGAGACTTGCTAGTCGTTATTACAGCCATCTCCTAAAATCACTAACTTAATATATCTCGCCTATTATCTCTGTTTCCTTTCCCTTGCTTACACTTCAGTCTTCTATAACAATATTCACCACTAATAATTAAACTAAATCATCTATTTATTTACTTGGTTCTGAATTCTTCTGTGTATTAGCATTAGAATTTTTTCATTATTATTCTCTACATTGCAACTAACTCATCTCCGGTCTGTTAATGTGATAGCTGCTGGTATACAGGAGCCCTACTACCATGAAACAAACGTACTCATTCAAATCACAGGACATGCAAATTCACAAACAACCGCCAATTGGCTATAATTCGACAATCGTGTGGCTAGACCAACATCCATTGGACACTACAAAACACCTGGAACCGTACCGAAAGAACAAGAAGTGAGCGCAAAGAAATCAATTGGTTTATACTAGCTCACGAAAAAGATATTGGGTGTGCTTATGTTACTATGTATCTTGTGTTGGAATCAGTTGTTGACTGTTTGAATAGCTCGTGATAGTCTTGCGTAGCATTTCGCGGGCGGTACGCCTTTCGACCGATCAGCTGCATTTAAATATCCTCATTATGTTGACTCGCAGCAGGTTCGGAGTTTATGTAAGAAAGCAATTTTCTCTAAGTAAAATTTCAGGCTAATGAAAATGCTGCAGTTGGTGTTAAAGATAATGCTGTTCTGAAAGCCAAAACCGTAGGTGTGTCAACGAGGTCACGCGCAGCACTATGCGATATTAAGAATAAGACTGCAAATATTCTGCCAAAAGATGTAGGGAAGCAAAAACCCTTAAAGAATGAGCAATGTTTGGAACAAAGTGAGGCTAAAAGTTAGGTTACCATTCCACTTTAGAGAAAGAAGTACTCGAAATGAGTATCGACAGTCCAACTCCTGATGTCACAACTCAAAAACCAACAGATCAGCTGAAAGAATTTCAAGCCAGTCGGAAACTCATTCGCTTAGAAAGTTTAGCCTCTGAGATAGCAGAGGAATATTTGGACGTTGACCGAAATGACTACGAGGATGCTGCTACAGTTTATCCCTATACAGAAAGAATATTCAATTATCTCCAAGATAGAGAATTGTTAATACAACCGTTGAAAGCTGATTACATGGACTTAAACTGTGAAATCACTCCACGGATGAGATATATCTTAGTTAACTGGCTTGTTCAAGTACACTACAGTTATAAATTGCAACCTGAGACCCTCTATTTATGTGTTGCTATCTTGGACCGTTATCTACTGGTATGTTGTGTACTTATTATTGCATTCGTATAGAAAAATTCTAAAAGCTTGACAAAAGATGGCTTCCAGCTTATAGGCGTGGCATCCTTATTTATTGCTGCAAAATTCGAAGAAATGTATCCACCCGACATAAGCGACTTCTCATCAATAACAAACAACACTTATTCTAAAAGCGACATTAGAAATACCGAACAAATAATATTGCAATCTATTGATTTCTATTTGTCAATCCCAACCCCGTTGGTATTTCTCCGTCGTTTGTCAAAGGCTATGGATGTAAGCTTCCTTTACTTTACCTTTCTTTCCAGGCTGATAGAACTATGCACAACCTAGCTAAATATTTCTTAGAACTAACGATACAAGAGTATGATCTTGCACACTTACCGGGGAATCTCCGCTCTGTGACTGCGTTATGCTTGTCTCGAGCACTGTGTCTAGGCACTTCAGAGCTTGAAAAAGCTTGGTGTGATAAACTCTCATATCTTAGTGGTTACAGATTGAGTGATATCCGTGATTATCTACAAATTCTCGCTCGCGCTGCTTATCGTCAAAATTCTCCTTCAAAGTATAGGGTATGTTTTCTATTCGCTAATTTATGACATTCGTAGGCGATATTTAACAAGTATCGTGTGGACGATTTTTATGGACGTGTAGCTTCCTTACCTCAACTTCGCTCATATCTAATGGAAACGCTGGCAGATCTCAAATTCGATAGTGATGGGGAGGCAAATTCAGCGTAGTGCTGTTGAGAAAAACCTCATATAATCCTAAATTCAGTGATGTCACTTGAATGTCTAACTGTTTCCTGTTCCATTTACTTCCCGGATTATTTATTTTTAATCTACTATAGAAGTGCTTTGAAATCTCATTGGAATAAGTGTATATTTATCCTTAACTGTCTTCGATTTTAATGTACAATCTTATAATACACACTTTTATCAACCTATGTCTGCTATTTACTTTTTACAATTGCGAATGGGTAATATTTTTACCTGAACATCGAATGTATTACTTTTTTAGACTTGTCAAATATGAATCAGTAGTGAACATTAGGGACGTTAAGACATGACTGATTTCCTTCATTCTGCGTACCTTATAAATGTCAGGGGACATTATATACTTCAAATACAACTATTGAACAAAGGGGCACGCAATAATTATACGCCAAACAAATTAGAGTTTGTGAGTGGGCTGGGAGATTACACGGGTGTTCAAACCAGAGTAGACGGATCTCCCGGGCGTTCAGTCAAGAAGCAAAAAACTACGTGGCAGTATGGAGAAGTAACACTACACGTTCGTATGCTAGTCTGTGCCCAATGTTAGGTTCTTGCACTTTGGATCCTGGAGTCCATGAATACCAGTGCCTTGGTGGGTCCTTCGATTCTGCCTATCCAGTTAAGCCTCTGTCGGACGTTAGCTTTCTGTCTTCTCAAACAATAGCCGCGAGGAGGGACTTGACTGGCATTTCGAAAGTAAGGAGTAACTCTCCCCACTCGTTCGTACGAAGTGGGAAACGTTTCTATTCACTAGCTTCTCTCAACAGTAGGATGATTTCTGTATACTTATATTTATTAAAGTTATGATTGCAGGGAATAGAAATTAGGGTTTGTAACTTAGCTAGACTTGATATACAGAGCAACCGTATACCTTTGGAGGGCCGAATGGTAAACTTCTGTGACGTACATTGTTGAAGCTGTCATGTATCTAACGTCAAATCATGAACTGCAGTTTAGTACATTAGTGATGTTGCTCCGTTCGTGTAGCTCCGATAACATGAATAGGTTGTGCCACTACCAGGTCTTATACCAAGTATAATCTCATAGACGTGTCAGTTGGATTAGTCTAAACTAACTTGTAACATGAGCTTAATCTTTTCTGTCTGTATTAGCTCGTCTTCAACAAAGAAGAGCACCTGCGGTCAATTTTTTCTGAAAGATAAATGAAAGCACTGCTCTCGGTGCTAAAAATCAATAAAAATGCCAACGCATTTCCCCTACAAACTGTAATATATAAAACATTTTTTTAGTTTCGATAAGATCATGCTAGGTTGGATTGAGTACTAATAGAAGACTTGCGATTTGATCGGAACGAGACAAGAAACCTAAAGTTCAAAATAGTCACTAATGCACATTTCCAGTTGTTAATTACCCCTATAAAAATACGCTTAGTCGAAGCTACTTACTTAAGTATTTCTGTCTTAGTGCTTTTTATTGTGATAAGATTGTCGGTGTCTTGTGTTTTCCCCTCCCATACGCAGTGGATATTACTAGATTCGACTAGATGCTCACCCCCAGACGACACGCGTCTGGGTGGAGGCACCGTGAACTTCGCTGGCCTTCATACCCTCCTCCGCCCCCCTACCCCGTGACGGGGTAGGGGGGGGGAGGAGGGTATGAAGGCGAGCGAAGTTCACGGTGGCTCCACCCAGACGCGTGTCGTCTGGGGGTGAGCATCTAGTCGAATGTAGTAATATCCACTGCGTATGGGAGGGGAAAACACAAGACACCGACAATCTGTATCGACCGGAATTAAAAAGCCACGTAAGGAGTAGTGCAGAGAATACTTAAGTAAGTAGCTTTGACTAAGCGTATTTCTATGGGGGTAATTAACAACTGGAAATGTTGCATTGGTGACTATTTTGAACTTTAGGTTTCTTGTCTCATTCCGATCAAATCGCAAGTTTTCTATTAGTACTCAATCCAACATAGCATGATCTTATTGAAACGAAAAAATGTTTTATATATTACAGTTTGTAGGGAAATGCGTTGGCATTTTTATTGATTTTTAGCACTGAGGGCAGTGCTTTCATTTATCTTTCAGAAAAAAATTGACCACAGGTGCTCTTCTTTGTTGAAGACGAGCTAATATAGACAGAAAAGATTAAGCTCATGTTACAAGTTAGTTTAGGCTAATCCAACCGACATGTCTATGAGATTATACTTGGTATAAGACCTGGTAGTGGCACAACTTATTCATGTTATCGGATCTACACGAACGGAGCAACATCACTGAGGTACTAAACTGTAGTTCATGATTGACGTTAGATACAAGACAGCTTCAACAATGTACTACACAGATGTTTACCATTCAGCCCTCCAAAGGTATACGGTTGCTCTGTATATCAAGTCTAGCTAAGTTACAAACCCTAATTTCTATTCCCTGCAATCATAACTTTAATAAATATAAGTATACAGAAATCATCCTACTGTTGAGAGAAGCTAGTGAATAGAAACGTTTCCCACTTCGTACGAACGAGTGGGGAGAGTTACTCCTTACTTTCGAAATGCCAGTCAAGTCCCTCCTCGCGGCTATTGTTTGAGAAGACAGAAAGCTAACGTCCGACAGAGGCTTAACTGGATAGGCAGAATCGAAGGACCCACCAAGGCACTGGTATTCATGGACTCCAGGATCCAAAGTGCAAGAACCTAACATTGGCACAGACTAGCATACGACGTGATAGTGTTACTTCTCCATACTGCCACGTAGTTTTTGCTTCTTGACTGAACGCCCGGGAGATCCGTCTACTCTGGTTTGAACACCAGTGTAATGTCCCAGCCCACTCACAAACTCTAATTTGTTTGGCGTATAATTATTGCGTGCCCCTTTGTTCAATAGTTGTATTTGAAGTATATAATGTCCCCTGACATTTATAAGGTACGCAGAATGAAGAAAATCAGTTGTCTTAGCGTCCCTAATGTTTACTACTGATTCATATTTAAAGTCTAAAAAAGTAATACATTCGATGCTCAGGTAAAAATATTACCCATTCCCAATTGTAAAAAGTAAATAGCAGACATGGGTTGATAAAAGTGTGTATTATAAGATTGTACATTAAAATCGAAGACAGTTAAGGATAAATATACAACTTATTCCAATGAGATTTCAAGCACTTCTATAGTAGATTAAAATAATAATCCGGGAAGTAAATGGAACAGGAAACAGTTAGACATTCAAGTGACATCACTGAATTTAGGATTATATGAGGTTTTTTCTCAACAGCACTACGCTGAATTTGCCTCCCCATCACTATCGAAATTTTGAGATCTGCCAGCGTTTCCATTAGAATATGAGCGCAGTTTGAGTAAGGAAGCTACACGTCCATAAAAAATCGTCCACATCGATACTTGTTAGTTAAATATCGCCTACGAATGTCATAAATTAGCGTATAGAAAACATACCCTATACTTTGAAGGAGAATTTTGACGATAAGCAGCGCGAGCGAGAATTTGTAGATAATCACGGATATCACTCAATCTGTAACCACTAAGATATGAGAGTTTATCACACCAAGCTTTTTCAAGCTCTGAATTGCCTAGACACAGTGCTCGAGACAAGCATAACGCAGTCACAGAGCGGAGATTCCCCGGGTAAGTGTGCAAGATCATACTCTTGTATCGTTAGTTCTAAGAATATTTAGCTAGGTTGTGCATAGTTCTATCAGCCTGGAAAGAAAGGTAAAGTAAAGGAAGCTTACATCCATAGCCTTTGACAAACGACGGAGAAATACCAACGGGGTTGGGAATTGACAAATAGAAATCAATAGATTGCAATATTATTTGTTCGGTATTTCTAATGTCGCTTTTAGAATAAGTGTTGTTTGTTATTGACGAGAAGTCGCTTATGTCGGGGTGATACATTTCTTCGAATTTTGCAGCAATAAATAAGGATGCCACGCCTATAAGCTGGAAGCCATCTTTTGTCAAGCTTTTAGAATTTTTCTATACGAATGCAATAATAAGTACACAACATACCAGTAGATAACGGTCCAAGATAGCAACACATAAATAGAGGGTCTCAGGTTGCAATTATAACTGTAGTGTACTTGAACAGCCAGTTAAACTAAGATATATCTCATCCGTGGAGTGATTTCACAGTTTAGTCCATGTAATCAGCTTTCAACGGTTGTTATTAACAATTCTCTATCTTGGAGATAATTGAATATTCTTTCTGTATAGGGATAAAACTGTAGCAGCATCCTCGTAGTCATTTCGGTCAACGTCCAAATATTCCTCTGCTATCTCAGAGGCTAAACTTCTAAGCGAATGAGTTTCCGACTGGCTTGAAATCCTTTCAGCTTGATCTGTTGGTTTTTGAGTTGTGACATCAGGAGTTGGACTGTCGATACTCATTCCGAGTACTTCTTTCTCTAAAAGTGGAAATGGTAACCTAACTGTTAGCCTCACTTGTTCCAAACATTGCTCATTGCTTTAGAGGGTTTTTTGGCGTCCGCTACATCTTTGGCAGGAATATTTGCAGTCTTATTCCTTAATATCGCATAAGTGCTGCGCGTGACCTCGTTGACACACCTACGGTTTTGGCTTTCAGAACAGGCATTATCTTTAACACACTAACGCAGCATTTCATTAGCCTGAAATTTTACTTAGAGAAAATTGCGTTTCTTACATAAACTCCCGAACCCTGCTGCGAAGTCAACATAATAAGGATATTTAAATGCAGCTGATCGGTCGAAAAGGCGTACCCGCCCGCGAATGCTACGCAAGACTATCACGAGCTATTCAAACAGTCAACAACTGATTCCAACACAAAATACATAGTAACATAAGCAGACCCAATATCTTTTTCATGAGCTAGTATAAACCAATTGATTTCTTTGCGCTCACTTCTTGTTCTTTAGGTGTTTTGTAGTGTCCAATGGATGTTGGTCTAGCCACACGATTGTCGAATTATAGCCAATTGGCGGTTGTTTGTGAATTTGCATGTCCTGTGATTTGAATGAGTACGTTTGTTTCATGGTAGTAGGGCTCCTGTATACCAGCAGCTATCACATTAACAGACCGGAGATGAGTTAGTTGCAATGTAGTGAATAATAATGAAAAAATTCTAATGCTAATACACAGAAGAATTCAGAACCAAGTAAATAAATAGATGATTTAGTTTAATTATTAGTGGTGAATATTGTTATAGAAGACTGAAGTGTAAGCAA